ACCCATTACATTAACATATCAAAGACAAAACCATATAATGATCTCAACAGTTGTAGCAAAAGCATTTAATAAAAATTAATATTCATTGCATGGTTTTAAAATATTCCCATTTTAAGCACAACTGGGATAGAAGGGATCTACCTTAACCTGATAAATGGTTTCTACTGAAAACTTATAACAAATATCATCAATAAAGATGACACATTAGAAGCATTTAAATTAGTTAGAAACAGGAAAACAATGCTTGTTTTCACCCTTACTATTTGATGTTCTATTGGAAGTCCTAGCCAATCCAATGCGAGTAAAAAGGCGGAAAAGGTATCAGGATTGTTATTTACAGATAATATGATTATCTACATGAAAACACAAAAGAATCTGCAAACAGAGTATTAAGAACGTTCAGCATGTTTGCCAAAAATAAGATCAGTATTCCAAAACCAACAGCATTACCAAACAGCAGGAATAACCAATTAAAAATTTTACTGGATAGAGTATCACAATATAATAGCTCAAAGCTGTAAAGTATCTAGGAATAAATCTAACAAAAAGAGGTTTAAGAGTTTTAGAAACAAAAAGATAAAATGTATTAAAATATATTTTAAAAATCAGAATAATATTAATGTATTGGATGATTCGCTTTCATAAAGATGTCATGTTACTGTTGCTGGGTACCATCAAGTTGTTTCTGACTCATAGCAACCCCACGTGACAGAGGAGAACTGCTCCACAGGGTTTTCTTAGCAGCTGTAATCTTTATGGAAGCAGATCACCAGGTCTTTCTCCTGCAGACAGGCTGGGTGGGTTTGAACCGCCAAACTTTTGGTCAGCAGCCAAGTGCTTCACCATTGCACCACCAGGCCTCCTTAAAGATGTCGTATCTCCCAAAATTTAACCTACAAATTCAACTCAGCAAAGTCCCAAAAAGTCTTTTCATGGGAAGTGACAAACTGATGCTAAAGTAAGTATGGAACAGTTGAAGCCCCAAAATAGCCAGTACAATTTTAAAGATGAACAAAGCAGAGACGTGCCCTTCCAGACATCAAGACTTATTATAAAACCAAAAAACCCAACCTGTTGCCGCTGAGCCAATTCTGACTCATAGAGACACTATAGGACAGAGTAGAACTGCCCCATAGAGCTTCCAAGGAGTGGCTGGTGGATTAGAACTGCCAACGTTTCGGTTAGCAGCCATAGCTCTTAACCACTGTGCCACCATATAAAGCTATAGTAATTAAAACAGTGTGGTATGGGCTCAGAACTGGTTTGATCAATGGGAAAGGACAAACTGGAAACATCCACGAATATATAGAAATTTAATTTTCAATTATGGTGGCATTATTACACATCAATAGGGAAATGAAGGACAGTTCAGTACATCAGGTCAGAACAACATGTCTTCCATAAGAGGTGGAGGAAGTACAATTAAATTCCTACTTTACACTATTCAAAAAAAATAAGTCCCAAATAGATTAATTTCATAAATGTGGAAAGCAAAATTGTAACACATTAAGGGAAACACACACAGACAGGAGATTATCTTCATAGTATCAGGTCTGGAAAGATTTCTTTAACAAGACATGAATGACATAAACTATAAAGAATGAATATGATTATGACTACAATTTTCTGTAGTACAAAAGACATCAAAAGCAAAACGTGAAGTACAAACTGAGAAAATATATTTAGTGGTTATATGCACGGAACATGTACAAATCAAGCAGAAAAAAAATGTTACACAGCCCACTGGAAAAATGGGCAATGATTATGAAAAAACAAATCACAGCCTAGGAAGTTTCAATAGTCGATAAATCTATGAAGAAGTGCTCAACCTCACTGACAGCGAGGGAAATTCAAATAAAACCACCAGATCCTGGGTTTTTAAAAAATCCAATTGACAGAATCTAAGAAAAGTCTGACTCTACAAAGTATTGAAGGTCATGTGAGGCAGATAAGAAACCTCATCCACTGCTAATGGGTTTGCACACTGGAGAACAGTCTGGCAGTCTCTAGTCAAACTGAAAATGTGTATGCAGCCTAGCAATACCCTATGTAGGTATATGCAGAGAGAAAGTCTCATGTACGTTCAAGGGGAGTATAGACACAGGGGTTCATATTAGCATTGCCTGCAATACCAAAAAATTGGCAGCATCTGAACTGTTCGCCAACAGGGGAATGGATAAACATGGTACAATCATACGCATGAATCTATGACAACAATTAAAATGTATGAACTGGATCTAGACTTATCAACATGGAGAGAAAAATAAAAACATACTGTGAAGGAAAATAAAAACAATCTGCAGAATTTTATGTACATTCTAACACCACATATACACATTTTAAAAAATTATACAAAGCAATATTTATACACTTTATGGGTCCAGATGTCATAAAGGTATAAAACCTAGATTTGAAAGTTACATACTAAATTCACGACAGTGTTTGCCTTTGGGGAAAAGGGTGGAGAATGATAGTGGGAAGGAGTGCAAAAGGGACTTCAATTTTATAAAAAATGTTGAATAGTTGAATTGTTAAAAACAGATCTGAAGCAACTATGACAAAATGTTAACATTTATTAATTATATGAGATAGGTACATGTGCAATTGTAATATTTTCTTTATATTTTTAATATCTTTACATTTTCCTAAATAATAAAATTAAAAGAAAAGCAGCTAGTAAAGAATTCTACCTCTGAGATTTTCTGGGACATGTGTAGATTAATTGTGAGTTGGTTCTCTAAAATTTTGAGACAAGGAACTTCATAACAATTATCTTATTTAAAATGGAAAAATAATAAAGCTGACAATATTATAAAATTGCTAAAATGAATAAACTAATTTCTATAGGCATCAACACAAATAGTTTTCAAAATCATAGTGAGGGGAAAAAGCAAGCTGCAAAATGATATGTACACTATCATATAATTTACAAAGAAAATTTTAAATATATTATCATGGATATTTATATCTACACACACATATATATGTAATAAAGATCTAATAACTAACGCTGGAAGAATACACACTTTGCAATACCGATTACTTAGGGAAGTAAAGAAGGAGAAAGGTGAGTGGAACGGGGGAGAGAAAGTGACATTTAATTCTGTCAACGTTTAATTCTTACAGATAAAAAGTCTAAAGCATATATGATAAATTTTCACAGGATTATTTTAGATAGCATGTACATGAATAAATATTATTCTTGGTGTATATGTATTTTTTAATTTTCAAAATAAAAAAGAAAGAAAATACTGAAGAATTACAAATAAAATGCACATAATTCAATAATATGAAAGGGAATCTTGTGTACATCAAAAACCAAGATATGACTATTTGTAGAAATCATTCTGTTTACTTTCCTACATGTTTTTAAGTTTTTAAAAATAAAAAGGAGAAAAAAAATGAAATGAAGAACTCAAAGAGAAATTATACATGTTTGATACTATGAAAACTTCCATAATCACAAAGCACCATAATAACATTCTATATCATTTTCTGCATTTTCTTATTTGTAAATTTTGTCAAAAGAAAAATAGAAGATGTTGCCTAATTGGAAACGTGACTTTCTATTATTAAAATTGTGGGAGTCCATTTTAATGTGTTTATCTTGCTGCTAGTCTATAATTTATATTTCAGCGTGGAAATTTGTTTGTACGCCTGTGACAGGTTAATGCAGTTTCAACATGCGTTTTTCTTCCGTTGGTTGAATAGTTAAATCGTTAGTGAAAGGATTTTAAGTTTCAATTTCAACCATGAGAGGATTCTCTGCGTTTTCAAGGTTAAAAACGTCTCTGGTTCACAACGTTATTAATTAACGTCTACGTAGAGAATCTATTTAGGGCACTGCTGACGACCCTGGAGTCACAGTTGAAGTATTCAACGAGAAAACTTTCGGATGCCGACTTTGGGATATTTTGCATTGGGGCTTAGAGCGGTGGACAGGAGCGAATGCCATTCCGGACCACTTCACGATCGATCGCAATGATGAATCGAAAGATAGTCAGGTATTAGCATTTTTTTTTCCTTAAAAAAAAAAAAAAAAAAGTTGCTCGGACTGGGCCGGACCCTCAGCTGGCGGGGGCCCAGCGCGAGGGGTGCGCCCGGCAGGCTGCCCAGAAGTTCCGACCGGGGAGTTCGCGCTTTAGGAACATTACCTGGCTCGCCAGCGGATGCCAGACCGCGAGGACAAGATAATTTCGGAGCGGCGACCAATGGCTTAGAGGGGCGGCGCGCGGGGGTCTTGGCCGGGCGGGCTCGCG